GAGCCCAGAAGAGGGTGTCCGACCCTCTGAAACTAGAGTTACAGGTGGTTGTGAGTTGTGAGCTGTCTGACATTTGGGCTGGCAACAGAACTTGGGTCCTGGTGAAGAGCAGCAAGCGCTCTTCAACTAGCTCGTTCTCTCTCTCTCTCTCTCTCCCACACACACACACACATTCTATCTGTAGATTGGCCTGCTCTGCATACTTGGTATGAAGCAGTCTTGTTAAGTTTAATGATAGACATGTAGTCTGTCATAGACACACCATGTTTGTTTATCCATTCATCTCTTGATGGGCTTATAGGCGCTTTGAAACCATGCCTTGCTCATGTAAATCCTCCAGGTGAGGCTTTTAGGTGCAAGGAGAGGTTTGGACGTTTGGACGTGACTTGATGTATATATCAACTTGGTGTAAATTCGTCCAGTCAGCAAATAAAGGGAATTTGCAAGAAACTTCTAGATATCTTACTGCGCTGTCTGCTTTTGTGGATAAGCACGGAAGTGCTGGTCCTCCACTCGAGGGACTCTGTGGAGCACTGGAAGCTGTGCTCTTTCTCCTAAGTGAACTTTCATCCTGCCTTAAAACACACATGGAGAACTTAAGAAGCAAGAGTCAGAGAAAATCACTGAGAGCAGGTAGGGCTGCCATGGCTGCTTTGCCCTGGCTACAGCCGTTATTTCAGGATAGCTGCTAGAGTCCCACCTGGCTGCATGCTACCTACAGTGTTGTCTCTGAGCTTGTTCTGTCCTGTTGGTAAGTGTAGCCTTTCCAGGTTGTAACTGTAGGTACTGTCAGGGAAATTTCATGGGTTGGATGAGCTTGTGTCAGGCCCCCTCAAAGGTACAGTAAACTGTTTGCACAGAATGACTGACGTACAGTGTGATTTCCGACCCACAAATATGCCACACACACAGCCCCATTAGTTTCCTGCAATAAGGAAAATGGTCGTCTTAGCTTTCAAGTTCATCTGTTCTAACTCCGTAGGGTCTGTGTCATCCTGTGATGCCTTCCTGAGCCTGTTCCAAAGCCACGGACTGAAACCTGAGGCCATCTGTCCATGTGCCACGTCTGCTGAGGCCATGACTGTGGCCATCCGCAGGTACTGTTGGAGGTGTCAGCTTCTTTTGATGGCTGTCTCAGCCTGGATGAGATGTGTGTTTTTTCCTGGTGATAAGAAAGCAGTTTTAGGGCTGGAGAGATGGCTCAGAGGTTAAGAGCAATGACTGCTCATCCAGAGGTCCTGAGTTCAATTTCCAGCAACCACATGGTGGCTCACAACCATCTGTTGTTGAGACCTGGTGCCCTCTTCTGGTGTGCAGATATACATGGAAGCAGAATGTTGTATACATAATCAATAAAATCTTTAAAAAAAAAAAAAAAAAAGAAAGAAAGGAGTTTTAAATGCTTCATAAACCCAAAAGTTGGGGCTAGAGAGATGGCTCAGCAGTTAAGAGCACTGTCTGCTCCTTTAGGGGATCTGGGTTCAATTCCTAGGTCCCACCTGTGTGTAACTCCAGTTCCAGGCCTTCTGTTACCTTTACACAGACATACATGCATGTGGAACACCAATGCATGTAAAATAAAAATAAATAATAAAAGAAAGACCTAAAAGTAGAATTTACCTAGTAAAGGCATTTCAGACATCTCATCCTTTTTTCTCTTCTTGCCAGAAGTACACAGAGAAACTGAATTTTTATGTAATTGTTCGTATCTCATTTTGAGTTGTTTTTCTTTTTTTTTTCTCTCTTTTTGTTTTTGTTTTTGTTTTTCAAGACAGGGTTTCTCTGTGGCTTTGGAGGCTGTCCTGGAACTAGCTCTTGTAGACCAGGCTGGTCTCGAACTCACAGAGATCCGCCTGCCTCTGCCTCCCGAGTGCTGGGATTAAAGGTGTGCGCCACCACCGCCCGGCTTTGAGTTATTTTTCTATGTTGCTTACTCCTCAGAATCCTTTGCATCTTAAATTTGAAGTTGGCAGTTCTCAATAGTACCCCAGAAAATATGTGGAAAATTTGCCTTCATAGTACACCCCACACTAGCATAGTCTCTTTAAAGAAAATTGTGTGTCTGCAGACACCTGGATCAAAGTGGGCAGGGTGCTCTTGAGCAGAGGCCAGACGAGGGTGTCAGCTGTCCCATCACTCCCTGCCTTTTCCTCTGAGGTGGGGTCCCTCCCTGATTCTTGCATCTTGGCTAGGCTGCAAGCTAGCCAGCCACAGTAATCCTCTTGCTTTGCACCCCTGACCTAGCATTATAGGCATTTTGGGGATTCCCAGCTTGTTACATGGGATGTTGGGACCCAGACTGGTCCTCACGATTTCGGAGCAAGTGCTTCTCATTGTTGAACATCTCTCTAGCCCTCTTCCCCCACCTTTTTCTTTCTTTTCTTTGTTTTTTTTTTTTGTTTGTTTGTTTATTTGTTTGTCTTTGTTTTTGAGATAGAATCTCACTGTGTAGCCCAGGCTGGCTAGAACTTGCAGTGATCTACCTGCCTCAGCCTCTTGAGTACTGAATTGCAGCATGAGCTATCATACCTGGCTTTTTGTTTTAATTTCCTCAAAGATTATTTATTTGTGTGTGTGTGTGCATGTGTATGTATATGTTTGGGCACACATACAACAGCAGGTGTGTGGAGGTCAGAGGACAGCTTAGAGGATTTGATTTTCTCCTTCTGCCATGTGGACCTCGGGATCAAACTCAGGTCTTTAAGCTTTTATGACACGAGCCTTTAACCATTGAACTATCTTGTCAACCCCTCATGTGTTTTCTATTTATTTGTTTATATGCATGGGTGTTTGTATAGACTTGGCTTGATGTTTTTGGTTTTGTTTTGTTTTTCTTTTTTCACATTTTAGGCCAGGGGTTCCAGGGGCTCCCTTGCCAGGAAGAGCCATTCTCTCAATGAATGGACTGAGCTATGGGGTAATACGGGTCAATACTGAAGATAAAAATTCAGCACTGACAGTCCAGGATGTGGGACATGTGATGCCTGGGGGTAAGTTGTGAGGAGTGTTATTGGGATTTCATAAGATTTGTCATCAGAAATAGTGGTGCTGTGCTGAGGAGATAGCTTGGTGGTGGGAGGCCTGCCTGGCGAGCCCAGAGCCCTGGGTTCCTTCCCCAGTCCCAGGTAAAGAGGTGGGGAAATGAGAAGACAGAGGGCTGATGCTAGTCACTGTTCTCACTGCAGTTGCCAACCCAGGAAGGCAGAGCGTGCTGCTCTTGTGGGTACTGCACTGGCCCTACATAAGGCCAGCCCTTGCTTCATCATGAGGCTGTTGCAGTCTTTTCTCAGTGCACCCGTGTCTAAGAGCTGTAGGTGCCAGATAGACTTCACAGGGTCATGGCTTTCTGTGGCACTTCCGTTGGCTGTTCTTAATGCTACTTCTGTAAGTGTGCAACCCCTCTGGGTTTGAAAACACAGTTGTTACTTTGCCGTTTTCTAGACTCTGTCATGTTTTCTGTGCACTAGGTATGATGTGCATTGTGAAACCAGATGGACTTCCTCAGCTCTGCAAGACAGATGAGATTGGAGAGATCTGTGTTAGCTCCAGGACTGGAGGGATGATGTACTTTGGACTTGCTGGCGTGACCAAAAATACATTTGAGGTACATGATGTTATTTCACGGGGAGATGTTTGCTGAGGTCAAATGTTACTAGGGAGACCTGCTGGCTGATGGCACAGCATTTGAGATCAAGTCTTTAGAACTCCGGTGCCTAAGACCAGATTCTACTCCACCATTCACTGGCTGCTGTGAGCCGCCTAGCCTTAATGAGTGCCCAATCCCTTTATCTTACGATATGACTGATAGCCAGGCATGGTGGCTAGTGCTTACACTCATAGCATTTGGGAGCCTGAATCAGGGGACTGTGAGTTCAAGGTCAGCCTGGGCTGCATAACAGGACCTTGTCTCAGACAACACCAAAGCAGAACAAAGTGAATAATAACAGTGCCTTCTTGTGGGCTGTTCTGAATACTAAATGAATGAACATTTACTCCTGGATTAGGTCAGCTTCTGGCACGTAGGAAGTGATGTGGTGTGCCTGGTGGATATTAAAGGGAATGAGGCCTCACAGACTTGCCATTGTTACAGCTATGTCAGTTCAAGATTTTGCCTTTGAGAGTGCTGTGACAATTGCACTTGCTGCTCAGATCACTGATCCAGACACAGACCTGGGAGATGCTAAAGCAACTGCCACGGAGGCATGAAAGTCCGAGTTGCGATCCTCACAAGCCAGGCGTTCATGGCAGCTGCCCTGATCCCTAGGGAAGCCGCTCAGCCAGACTAGTGGATTTGGCAAGAAAACACCTGACATTGACTTTGAGCTTCACACACATGTGTTCACATGCATGTGTACATGTACACATACCAAAAGACAACCTGTTGCAGGGGTCAGATTGCTCCTCAAGCAGGTACTGACTTCTCTGTGCCTACTCTCTTCTGGGTGCCGAGGCTCTCTCGGGACAATTGAGACTGCTGGTAAAGCTTGTACTCTAGAGGAGACAGCACTTTCTAAGGAGTGGGCACTCTGCTTGCAAAGCTAAGCTGTAATGAGAAGTTGCTCTGCTGAGCCTGCACATTAGAACGGGTGGTTAATTGCCTGAGATACCTTTTAGGGACCAGAGAAATTCTGTGGATGGATTGTAGTTCCCTTACACTAGATGGGGTTAGCAAGAGTACTGCTGACTTTCAGCTCTTTGAATTGCTTTTTCTGTAACAGAGCCTCATTCAGGTTTCTCAAAATGGTAGGACAGTGTAGAGTAAGTCTGCAAACATCAGAAGCTGCATTTCAATCACTCTATTTGGAAATAGATGCATACAACTGTACACTAGCTGTCACTGGTGACAGCATACCTTCTGTGTGGAGTACATCTGTGTTATCTGTCATGTGCTACCTGAAGAGGGCTAAGAACAGGGCTGAGTGTCATCTCTGTTTACAAGCCTGAAACAGCATAGTATAAACCCGTTATTGTTACCATCACCATCACTTCTGTCCCATCGGCGGTTGTTTCCATTCATTCGCAGGAGTGGAAACTTGTAGGTTCCCCAGGTGTATGCTCAACACCCTTCTTTTGGTTGACTCACTGTCTGATTTAAATTTATGTACATTTTTTATTGTCCTAAGTCTCTCCCAGATTGCCCCAGACTCTTGGTAATTCTCCTGCCTCAGCCTTCTGAGTTGATGGGACTATAGGAGTGAACCACCATACCCAGTTTCTGTTTCTAAACAGAATAAAAAAAAAAAATCTTTGTTTTGTTTGTGTGTGTGTCTGTGTGTGTCTGTGTCTCTGTGTGCACGATATTGTGCATGTGAAGATCAGAGGCCAGCTTGCAGGAGTTTGTTCTTTTCTACTTCTACTACATGGGTTCTGGAGATTGGACTCAGGTCATTAGACATAGTAGCAAGTGCTACAACCTACTCAGTCCCTTGGCAGCCCATCTTGTTTTTAAGTGCTTGGACTATCTCCGGTGTTTGTAATGCTTGTCGTGAAATCTTTTTTTACTGAGAATAAATAAGATCCTTGCTGTTTGAGGTTGTGTCTCACTGAGTATTCTGACAAGCCTCAGATTTATCACCCTCATATGTCAGTCTCTTGAGAAGATGGTGTTACAGGCACATACCACCACATGTAGCTTCAAGCAGAATTAAATTATTTTGTGTGTGTATGAGGGAAAGGGAGAGACATGAGGGGGAGAGAGAGGAAAAGTGGGGAGAGGTGAGGGGTAAGAAATTGCTACAGCTGCACATGTGTAGAGGTCAGAAGACAACTTGGGAGTCAGTTCCCTTCTTCCATTTTGTTTTTAATTTAAAAAATTACTTATATGTATAGTTGTTTTGCCTGCATGTATGTGCATGTACCAGGTGCATGTTTAGTGCCCTTGCATGCCAGAAGAAGGAGCTGGAACTCTAGGACTGGAGTTTGAGAGTGTTGTGAGCCACCATGTAGGTTCTGGGAGTCAAACCCAGGTCCTCCGAGCCAGTGCTCTTAACCACCCAGCCATCTCTTCAGCCCCTACTCCCACTTTGTTAAGCAGGGCCTCTCTTGTTCCTGCTGCAGTGAGTATTTAAGGCTAACTGGCCACTGGATGGACTTTGTGGTGCTATCTCCGTTTCCTCCCTTCCTGTAGCAGTGCTGGATTGTGGATGTGTGAGTTTGTATCTGGCTCATTATATAGGACCCAGAGACTGAACTCAGGTCATCAGGCTTTCAGGGAAAGTACTTTCACCTACTGATGCATTTTGCAGTCCTTCAAGCAGCATTTGAAGATAATACAGGAAGCTGCGTGCCTAGAACTTTTACACTTCTTTGGTAGTGCTTGCAGTACTAGTCAAGGGTGGTACTGCCGAGTTGCATCCCCAGCCCATGAAAGCTGTTTGACTTCATGAGGTATCAGATCACCTGTGCAGACAGACTGCACTGCAACCACTGTGTCCTTAAAACTGGCCCTGGTCAGGCACCTTACACACCTCTCCAAATCTGTGTGCACTGCTTTATCTTTACACAAGCTCAGAGGAGGATCTGAGTGAATTCTTCCATAGCTGAGAGGAACTTGAGACTCAGAGCCATCTTGACTTGATTGAAGTCTATGTTATTAGTAAACTGACTCCCAAGGGTTTGCTGTCCTATCCCTTTGAAATGCTCTATTATACAACTGTCCTAAAGCATGGGCTAGACCAGTTACTACTCAGTGGGAAGGCTATCTAAGATATATTGTATTAGTAATATATGTCTAGGCATATATCCTTTTTATTTTTTAATACTTTCTTTTTTATTTGTATATATATATATGTGCTATATGCCTTTATATGTGTGCATTCCCTCGTTTATCCATGTGTATTCATGTGCTCTGTGTATGTCATGTGGGTGTGAATCAGTTCATGTGGGGTATCTTCCTCTGCTGCTCCACCTTGTTCATGTTTGTTTGTCATTTAGGTTTTAGGAGCTGGCTACGAAACCACTGGAGCTCCTGCTGTTTACACCTTCCCTGCAGCTTTCTCCGTGGGTGCTGGGATCAGAACTGTGGCCCTCAAGTTTGCACAGCCTGTGCTTTACTCACTGAGCTGTCTCCCCAACCCCATGGCGCCTGTTTTGGCACTCTTAGTTATGTTAATCTCTGTCTCTCATGGGCCAGGAGTTGACACAGTTGCTAAGGGCATTTCACATGCTTCCTGATGTGTTAGGCCCACAGTCCACATGGTGAAAGGAGAGACTTGACTCCTACAGTTGTCCTCTGACCTACATATGTGTTTGGTGACATGTGGGTGTGTGCACAAACACAAAAAGTAAATAAATGGAATAAAACATTTAAGTATGTATATGATCTTTTTCAAAGTTTAGAGAGATAAACAACAAACACTGATATGTTTGAGATTCCTGAATTAGCTTAATATGGTTAAAATTTTAACTTATATTACCATTTTTTAAATTTACTATTTGTAGACATGAGAAACCATAGCACAGTTTACATTTTTTTCTCTTTTTAACAGCCTTTTCTCTGACCTCTGACGACTTGCTTTAACTCTCTATAACCTTTTTATATACTTTTAGTTCATTCCTCTGACTTTCTTAGTCATTCTTCGTCAAATTTCCTTTTTTCCTTTCCTTCTTTATTATTTAAGTCTCCTACATTTTTCCTCATTTCTCAGTCAACATAAAAATTTTATCAAAGTCCCTTTTACAATCAGGCCAGATAAGTTCATACGCTCGAGCTCCATGTGCACAAGTCAGAGAGACCTGGGGTGGGGGTGCTGCTGGTAACCCCAGACCCTCGGCCAATGCAGGGATGGAAAAAAGACCCCCGAGGCCTCCCTGCATACGATGTGTGTGGAGCACAGAGAAGGCCGGGCAGCCAGGCAGATGGCAGCCTTGCAGCCATGTTCCTTCAGAGCAGGGAAACTCCCGAGGCAGGCAGGACCGTAGCTGGGGCAGAAACAGCCCCACTTGGCATGCCTCACAGACCCGCAGGTGGGGATAGAAAGGGATTGGCGTGGTGGATCCTGAATTGAAAACCAATGATGATAACACAGAATAGACAGGAAAGAACAGACGCCAACCCAATCCACCCGCGCTGCTTATAAGACAATGGCGCCAGCAGAACCCGGCGGCTAAATCACCGCTAACTGAGGAGGATCCAAGTCCTTTTTCCGTTCGTACTTCCTAGGTGTCCTCAGCGCAGCAGATGTCCTCCGGGCGCATCTGCCGATCACAGTTGAGGTGGCGCCACGTGCTCAGAGCATCAAAAAAAGACCCCCTGACCCATGCATGCCATGTACATGGGCAGTAGGGACAGAAAAAGATGTTTAACATAGACTAGAGTCCTATTCGGAATTTCAGATGGCTAGCCCCATGGAGATCAACTTGGTTCCAAGCCAAGTCTCCCCTATAGATTTCGGAAGGCTGCCGCCCAAACCTCCGCCCCAAACAATTCTTGTAGGCCTACTATTCACAGATGTCGCCAGAAACCCCAACATAGGACCTCCATATCCACAAAATTAACAGAAATAGTAAAATTGACACACAAGCAGGCAGTTAGGGCGTGGGCTGCAACAGATCAGATAACAGATAACAAACCTGTTGC